AAGTGATTTTAATTTTAATGCAAATTTAGAGGGAATGAATGAACTCCCTCGCCATGACGAATGAATTCAGGTTTTGTTTGATGAATATAGACCCATACGCTGTTTGTTGATAATAGATGATAATACATTGAAATTCAACGTATAATATACATATTCCGCGTATTAATTTTGACATAATTTATTCAGGGCTCATATAGTTTGAGTTTTGCCCTGTCACCCTGCATATCTCCCTCGTGATCGTAACTGCCTTCCCTCATTACCCTCAGTCAGGTCGGCTTGTGCTCCTGCTATATTTTACTTTAGGGTTTTCCATCTCCCATTTCTATTTTACTTTATGCTATGCCTTATTATGTCGCTATTTTCTCATATTAGTAAGACTTTTAGCCATGCATGGCTTTGTGGGCTCAACGGGCGATAATTAATCGTACATTTGGCAGTTGTTTGCAATTATTGACAGGATTTAATAATTAAATTTGATTATGTTTTGAGAATATGAATAATGATTTGTTTATCAAGTTACACCAATTATCAGACCATTGAAGTTAATGGTTCACTCACCTATAGTTTACATGTATAAATTACATTAAACTGGTATAAATTGCTTTAAGACTGAATCATTAAAATTAGGGATTTCAATTAAAACTCAAGTATTCACACACAAATAAGCCTTAGAAAAACAATAACTAAATATCCCAATTGCTCATTTTATTTTTTATTCCAACTTAAATTTTATGCGAATCTTAAGTTTATTTAAAATTAGTTTTGCAATTAGTTTCAAACTAATTAAGATCAGAAAAACTCGAACCAACTCAAAATTATTCGCGTACATAAATATTTTAATCTCAGCTCTATCAATAAAGTTATACTAATTCATCAAAAATCCTAGAATATGCTTCAAAACATCTTCTGTAACTAAACTTCTTGTTAAATTTTTGAGAGTAAAATAACTGCTTCTGAAAGGATATCGAATTACTGCAGACCTGAGAAATGTTTATGCTGAAATAAATTATCTCGGAAGCTCAAACTGCCCTCTGCCTAAACACCAATCAATAGCGTTGCTCAGGGTCACGTGACCGGCAACAATTAACCAATGAGGAGCCTCGTTACTCGACTTCCAGTTGTTAGAGATTGCCAGCTAACATGCGAGCTTTGGAGGACGCATTAAACATGTGCTTGCATGTGTTTTTCATCAAAATCTTTAATTGTTAATGTTAAACCAGATTTTAAATGGAGCGCTGGTGCCTGCGATGGTTGGAAAATTTTTCAATCTTCCTTCACCATTCAATTTGTCAATTTATTTCCATGATGTTCTATAGTTGAGGTTAAAGTTAAACCATAGCCTACCACTAGTTTAGGTGACATTCCATCATTATATCAATAATAAAAAAGTCCGACTATTAATACATCTAGTATTCAATACGAGGTGTTGTCAATCTCATCAGATTCGTATCACGTACGTAGTACATAGCACCTCTACCTATATACAGTGATTCATAACGTATTTGCAACATATGGAAGCAACCCAGTTTTCTAATGATTCGATAAGAGCTTTGTATTTACTGTTCCATTATCGATATTTGTTCGACACTGATTCTCAAGCGAATACCAATAAATTTGAAATAGCATTTTTCAAATGCTCTCCGTCATACTGGAAACCCTTCATTTTCGATTTTGTCGAATGAACCACTTAAAATATTAAACTCAATTAACATTAGTATCGAACCATCTTTAAACCTCGGTAAAAAAATTCGGAAGCCAGCTTATAGATGAGCTTGAAACTTGCTCTATTAATTATTAAGATGTTATATTTCTGATAATAAGCTATCATTTACCGCGCGCCTAACTGTACAGTAGAAGTGGCTAAGCTTGTAAAAGTAGCTATGCTCGCAAAAAAAGCTAAGCTTGTAAAAGTAGCTAAGCTTGTAAAAGTAGCTAAGCTTATAAAACTAGCTAAGCTTGTAAAAGTACATAAGCTTTTACAAGTAGCTAAGCTTGTAAAAGTAGCTAAGCCTGTAGAAGTAGCTAAGCTTTTACAAGTAGCTAAGCTTGTAAAAGTAGCTAAGCTTTTACAAGTAGCTAAGCTTGTAGAAGTAGCTGAGCTTGTAGAAGTAGCTAAGCTTGTAAAAATAGCTAAGCTTGTAAAAGTAACTAAGCTTGTAGAAGTAGCTAAGCTTGTAAAAGTAGCTAAGCTTGTAAAAGTAGCTAAGCTTGTTATTGTAAAAGTAGCTAAGCACTTTCAAGTAGCTAAGCATTTACAAGTAGCTAAGCTTGTGAAAGTAGCTAAGCTCGTAAAAGTAGCTAAGCTTGTAGAAGTAGCTAAGCATTTTCAAGTAGCTAAGCATTTACAAGTTGCTAAGCGTGTAAAAGTAGCTAAGCTTGTAAAAGTAGCTAAGCTCGTAAAAGTAGCTAAGCTTGTAAAAGTAGCTAAAAGTAGCTGTTTTCTAAACCGGAAGAAGTCCTATATTAACGGTCGTCGAATATCAGGCGTGCGCGCCTCTTTCCTTCCGGATATTTTAACTTCCGAGAGCGACCATCTCGGGCCGAACTTATAAGCGGAACTTAATATGCTAGATAACAGTTCGATATTAATCTAACAAACTCTATTTAATTTCTTAGCATGCTTACCGATGGCTAGTCATTCTCAGCCTATCGTTTATAAAGAGGCGTTTGGCCGTTCCGAAAACAATAACTTTTTTCAGCTGAAACTACTACAAAGTCGATTGAATAAAAATTTAAATAGCATCACAATATATGAAATATGGTCGCACGTATCAAAGTAGATTACGGATTAAATTACCGTTAGCACCAATCATTGACAAGTAAAGAAGAGCAGAAACATGGACAGTTTGACGCTCTAATCTTAAGGGCTGCCGTCAATCGGAAGCAAGTGATTGACGCCATCGATTGTCGACGTTGAAGTGTTTCGTTGCGCGATTATATAAAATAGCGATCAGCCCGTAGTTTATCGACGTCTAGTTTCACGTGGCAGAGTTTATATGATAATTATGTTCTAAAATTCATTTTAATTACATATTAAAATAGTATATTATTTGCAATGAATAATTTTATCACCGAAACGATTCATGATTTATGATTAATTCCATTGATCAATCAAAATGATAAAGAATAGTCAACCTATGATTGATTTAACAGGATTTATTGAGAAATATTTCTCGAATCTTCTTGAGATAGCAAACATCTTTTTTAGCCCATTTCTAATTTATGGAAAAAATGCACTATTGTGCTCGTCATGTCCGTCCGTCCGTCTGTCTGTCTGTCTGTCCGTCCAAGACTTCACGTTTCCGTCGACGAGTTAATGCGCTCTCTGTCACTCACTGCACTGAGTACTAAGTTATACTTTCTATCTTCATCTCGAAATAGTTCGGAATCATGCTCAAGATTTTAATGTAATTTTCCAGCATCTGAAAAAATACTCATGGACAACCGTCGTAACAAAGAATATAACTGCTGGGAAATATGCTAATATTTGTGTGCTTGAAGCCTGGCACTGAAATTATTTTGTTCGAGCGAGTATCCGGGTTACTTATCTTGTCGAGACATCACCTGTATCTTAATTTTTGTTTCTGAATAGCAGAGCATATTATGATGAGGAGAGGAGAGTGGGATCTCAACATTCAAATTTGATTTTAAAATTGGTATAATTGAATTGGACTTGATTGATTTGAATTGGTGTTGTTTATTTGATGAGATATGTAAAAACACGATCTTAAAAGCTTTTGGTGAACGCAGACATGACTCACCTACATTGCTGGCATGACTCACCTACAGTGCTGGCATGACTCACCTACAGTGCTGGCATGACTCACCTACAGTGCTGGCATGACTCACCTACAGTGCTGGCA